CCCCAAAACCCCAAAACCCCAAAACCCCAAAACCCCAAAACCCCTAAATTGTATCAATTATTGAATCAAGCATATTCAAAACATTTCGTATTTTTAGTTTATTTTTAAGAGAAATCTAGGCATCAGATGGATCACTGGCTTTCTTCCGTTTTGGATTTTTACAAGTTTTAGGTGGAGTCTTGCGAGGAGCTCGCTTTTTAGCAGGCTTTTTAGGAATTCTAGTGGGTTTTGGAGCAGTTTTAGGTAGGTTTTTAGAAGAGTTTGATGCTTTTTGACGTTTAGAGACCTCTGAGAGGTCTTTGAGTGAATTTTGAGCATTTAGAGAGCAATTTTGAGGAGGGGTGTCTTTTTGAGGTTTGTGTAAAATTTTTGGAGAAGTGATAATTTTCTCCTGATTTTGAGACTCTTGTTGTTTAGACATTTCAGGAGAACTATTCTTAGGATTAGACGGAGTGTCTATTGAAGCATTTGATTTTGATTTCTGTTTAGAAGTAGCCTTCTTGCTCTCAGCCTTAGCCTTCCTCTTTGCTCCAGCTCTTTTTGAAGCCGGCTTTGATTTTGTATTGTTTAACATTGTCCAACGTCTTCGTCATTGATTGTCAGTTCTAGTGCTTACAGAAGTAGCTATCTTAGACCATTTATCTGGATTAATCTCATATGCATTCCTTAATCTTTCATCTTCTTCCTCTGTCCAATCAGAATGATGAATTCGAGGATCCAGAATATTTCAATATCGCTCTCTTCATTGAACATCTGTCCTATTAGGGACCGATTTTGCTATTAATGCCCAGTTTTTCTCGCCATAGACCTTCAAACTGACAGATAGCCTGATATCTTCCTCTACTGACCATTTTCCCTTCTTAATGTTGTTATCTTGCATTTTCTTATACTCCAAGAAGCAGTGGTAACTGTTCTTGTTATCAAAATTCATTGAGATCTGGAACCAATTTGTCCTTTCCCCGTACTTCAAGATGAGGCTCTTAAGTTTCTCCCTTTCCTCATCTGTCCATTCGACTTCGTGACTTCCTTCAATCTCTTTGTGCCTCTTGTACAGCTCGAGTAGTTTTCTGGGGCCGGTCATAGCAAGGTTCCGGAGGGCTAGAACAGTGTTAGCGAATATTTTTAGAAATATAACATCGTAAATAGCAATCTTACCTTCCATTTCATTTCCAGGGTTTGCCTCAATCGCATTCAAAAGGACCTTGTCCTCTGCGGGCTTGAATTTATACTTATTCTTGGACTTGAATTTCTGCGAGAGTTGGTGCCTCTGCCTCTTGCGATATCCTCCAGTGTTTATATCAGAGAATTCTTCATATTCAGGGTCTCCATCAGGTGTCATATTATTGGACTTGCATGATCTTTCCTGGTTAAGACTTTCATCTTCGTTTGAAATAGCCAGATATTCATTTGCCTTAGCCAAGAACTTGAAATAAAAGCACTCTTGCTTAGAGCCAGGGGCATACTTTTCATAGTAAATCTGGTCATCAGAATGGACTTCCCCTGCCTTCATATCCTGCTTAAAATTATCAACATAGTTCGACTGTTTCATGATGTTTGAATAAAGCCGATCTGCCTTGGTAATATTCTGTTTTACAATAACTTGTTTTTTATGGTTCTCTTCTAACTGCCGGTTGATCAGCTCCAGCAACTCCAAGTCTGTCATTGACCTGTTCATTTTTAGAATAAATATTTAGAAATCCTTGTTTAAATATTATGGGTGCCCAATGGGGTTTTGGGGTTTTGGGGTTTTGGGGTTTTGGGGTTTTGGGGTTTTGGGG